GGGGGGTGGGGGGGGGGCGGCTGCACGTGCCTCAGCAGCGACGGGGGAGGCACGGGGCTGAGCCCCTCTGCTGCCGAAGCTACGAAATCGCCCCCGAGGGCGTGATAAGGCACAGCAAGGCACAACAAAAAGACATCTCCAAAAAGGGTCATTTTCTTGAAGGCCCTGCCTGCCCCAAACCACCCGTGATTTTTTGGGGAGGGACGATGGCTCGCTTTGGGGGAGCGGCATCATGTGTGGTCTCCCCCCAAGACACCCTTGCTGCACCCGCCTGGCTGATGCAACCCAAAAACGGCCTAAAGCCCCTTCGGTTGGGCAGCGGAGAAGCAGACAGCAGCACTACAACCCATTGCCGAGGTTTGACATGATGATGTACCAGACTATGAAAACCCCAGGCTTAATTTAAAAGACACTTTGTTGTCCCGACGGCAGCCGGGTTCGAGGAGGCCAGAACGGTCCACAGCCCGAAAGGAAAGCAATAACAAGCACCTACGGCAAATGTCTGTGAACACACCAAAAATGATGAGCACTACAGAAAAAGATTAGGGAACGTTATCCTGGCTTCTGGCCAGAGTCTGGGTTTTGGGAGCTTTTATTCAGTTTTCTCAAGCAAAAGTCTCACTGTTGAAGGTAACCTTCAAAAACGCCTTACTGAGAGCTTATGCAAGCACAAGGGGACGAACAAGGGTGGATGGACCTCAGAGCTGCCCCATGCTGGGATGCTCAGCCGTGGTTGGAGTGGTGTTGAGGTGGGGATAACACCATCGCCAACAGGAGCCAAGGGCAAAGACCCCTCAGGGATGGGGCACTGGCCCAAGCTCCTACTCCTGTCCTTCCCTGTCTCACCCTCACTCTGCCTCAGTTTCCCCATCCTCAGGGTGCTCACCCACACCCCAGGGCCTCCAAGCCCTGCACATCTCTGCCTCTGTTTCCCATTTCTAAAACATCGAGGTTTCCCTTCCGTCCCCATGCAGCGCCACATCACAGCTCAAAGCACTTGGCTATCAGTGATAACAACCACCTTTGCTCCTTAAGGCACTGACAGCCTTTCAGTAATTAACAGCCTGATGACTTTTTGAGATCCTGGAATAGAGGCACTGTAGAAGCGTGTATCACCGCCACATGTTACTCCTTCAAGACAAAAAAAAACCCCAAACCAAAACTTAAACACCGCTCCCTTCACAAGCGGCATTTTAACCTCTACTTTTCATGCTGAGGCAGGCGGAGGACAAGAACAGGTTTGGAGTTCACTACAGCAAGGGACACGCTGCTGTGTGCAGATTTAACACAATTTCAGGTAGCCAAACCCTGGACTGAACCATTACTATGCAAAAGTCACAGGTTACTGATAAACTGGAGAGTGGTTATGCCCATTTTTCATGACGCTGGATGCACGCCATGGCTGTAAGCAGCACCGACACAGCCCAGGATTGCAGTGCCCTGCAGCCCCTCAGTGTGGAGCTCAGCTCCATCCCCCGGCAGGGGTTTCATTCCCAAATCTCAGCCCTACCCTGCAAGCTCTGAGCCAGCTCTGGGTGACACCGTGTCCCTTCATCTCCCATCCCCCCCAGCACTTCAGCAGGGCTCGTTCTGGTGTAAAAATAATTTCTCAAATTATTTTCTCGCATCCTTTCAGACCTGCAGTGCTTTAAGCCTTCGCACGTATTTTAAGCATGATTCATTCTCCCATCCAAGCCACTTAATGAATGAATAATTTAAAGACAGGTGAAATATTTACAAACGGCAAAAGAAGACATCGCTGTGAAATGCACAAAGATGTCTATAAGGAACCATATCGGCTGGGGATACCCTAAACCAGTGCAGATCCTGAGCAAAGTCACTTACTTGCTGCGAGCCGCTATCTTTTTTGCTAGAAGAAGGCGCAGCTGAAAGAGCGAGCTGTCAAGTCCCAGGGATGCTATTTATTGTCCTGCTCCAAAAACATCCCCAGAAAGACAGCCATTTTCTGCTCTCTGGACTGGGAGATGGGGGAAAAAAATTAATGGAAAAAAATTACATATATAACCTGGAGAGACTGTTAATTTTTGGGTGCTAGTGCTGCCCCAGCAGTGCTGGGACCCTGAGATGCGGCACAGCGGGGTTTCTGCAGCAGGGCTGGTGAAGCGGGTACCACAGGTATCAAACTGGATTGAAAACAGCAGAAACGATGCCAGGCTCGGGGCATCTCTTGCCATTTGTTGGTAGAGGCAAAGCCAGGCGTCCTCACCTCCTCCCTCCATCGTTTGCACCCTAAATCCTCCCCCTGCACACGTGGCTCA